CTTGTGTTAGTTCAGTGGGCCAGGTACGGGGCACCCGCGCTTGGCAGGATCAAGCCCACGTGTACAGGAATGTGCTGCGAAAGTGTAAATGCATTTACTCGCTCACAAGCTAGGAAAACCGAGTAAAAAAAATAAATAAAAAAAGGAAGCATTTGGGCACTCCTATTGCTAGTGAGGCTGTACAGAACAGGCAAAATGAGTGTAACGAGCTGGGGAATTATTTATTTTGAAATGTTTAGTTTTCACAAAAACATTAAGCCTTTTTGTGGGCTTCTCTCTGGCATTGGTGAACATCCCACAACCGCCGTTACCGACATGAAGCTGTTCTGTAGCGGACTGGCAGCACCAGAGGCCTTGGCAGAAGGGAGCGATGCTCCCTCGTGCCGAAACGTTCCCTGCAGAACGCCCCCGACCTGCAGGCCTGAGGAAATGCCGAGCACTTACTGGCGGGCTGGACTGAACTTTGGGTTTGAGTTTACACGTCACTTTCTAAGAATCCTCTCTCCGGATCAGCTTTTCTGCTCGTCTCTTATGTGTGCAACAACCTGGTACTTGAAACAAATACTTGACCCGCTGCCCTGCGCCCGCACAAGGCCCGAGGCGAGGCGCCGGGAGGCAGAGCGAGCGCTTTCCAGGCTTGGCTCTCCGAGTCTATTTTGGTGGACAAAGAGATGCCAAAGCAGCAGTTTGAGGCCTGGAAAATGTAAGATTTTTTTTTTTTTTTTCTGTTCTATTTTGTGCTTCCTATAATGCAGTTAGAGACGAGAGTGTCATTTTTCGAATATGGGCCAAAAAGAGGCGAAGGCGGAGAGGGAGGGCAGCTCCCGACTGCGCTAATACTTGATATACCACACTTCGTACAGGGTAAATACTGAGCAGTTTGCAATGGGAGTAATAGACGGACCCTTCATTTTAAAGGCACTGTTGTAACTTTACTTTTGAAGTGGACTTCACCAGCCTTTCTCTCCAGGCAGAGCCCTGTAATTCGAATAATTGAAGTCCGATGGAATTGGACTTGTGAGTGTGCCAAACTGCTGGAGCAATACTTGTAAGCGGCAGGTTCTCTACAAGACCAGCTCTATGTAGCCAAAATAGGGCAATCGTTGAAACCACCTCTGATGCATTTTCAAGAATAGCAGCGATGTCATGGTTCTACTGTAATGTAAGAAAGTTCGGTTGCAAAGTCTGGAAACCTTGTTCTCTGTTGGTCTGAAACCTCAGTCCTGCAATAGTGGGCTCAGGCTCGTGTGGTGCGTTGGCTTTTTGGTTTTTATTAACAGCAGTTGTTTGGTGGGATGGAATGTTCTTGCTAAAACAGTTTCCATTGTTTCATGTCTTCTACACCAATATATATATGGTGTATATATTAAACTGTGTAAAATTGTACTTTGTATATATAACTGTACAATATGGAGGTACATCCTTTTTTTTTTTTTTTTTTCCTTTTGGTACAGTATTGTACAGTATTAGGAGTATATGTGTTGGAAATGTTAAATCCATACTGGGGCTACAAAATGTATCCATTGTCATTAGCAATAGTTTTGGAGAAATAAATGTTTTGGGTATGGTGGAAATACTGACCTATGGGCGCCAGTAAATGATGTACGGCGTGCGTGCGAGTGGGAGCGGGGCTGAGCATCGCCTGCGTGCGCCTTCCCTGCAGCCCCCCCAGCCCGGGGCTTTGCATGGTCTGCAACGTGGCTCTGGTAAGTGAGGAAGAATCTGCAGGATCCAGCAGTCCACGTCACCATTCATAGCCCTGAATCAAGTGGGCGAGGAGCCTTGCCGTTACCGGAGCCCAAAGCGCACCCCAGTAACACCAGTGGCAGGGATGCTGGGTGCAGTTTTGCAGCCGAGGGGGGCTCCCTTCTGCCACGAGGGATGGGTGTGGGTGGTGTCTGCAGCCCCTGGCTCCCAAGGCTCCTTCCTTCCCCAGCGGTGGGCACCTCTGCTTGCCGGGGGGCAGCTGGGGAATGTTTGTGTGCTTCCAGCCCTGCTCCTCTTCGGCCCCCACACACCTCATAACAGGATTCGGCAGAGCATGAACTTGCCTTGCAATGACCTGATTGCAAAATGCTTAATCTTCCTCATTTTCCTGGAGAGGACGGGCCTCAAACCCTCTCTGGGAAAGAGGATTTAAAATCGAGATTAGGGATTGGGTCACCGACATTATTACCGTTTTTTCCCCCCATCTCCACTTTTCAGTGTGCCTTTTTCAGAACACGGCCCGGAAACTGTGTCAGGGGCTTGTAATTTTGGATTCCCTTTGTTTAGGTTTGAGGGGATTAATTAATTACAGCCCTGCTGATGCTGAATCCAGATGTGTTGTGCTGGAGGTGGGCTGGGGCCGCCAAGCCCCCCACTCCCGGGGTGCAGCAGCGGGGCCGGGGGCAGCCGCTCGCCCCGTGCCCCCCACCCGGGCACCTCCAGCCGCAAGCCCCCCACATTTTTGGGGCTGTTCAGGGCCACCCGTGAGGCTCCGGGATCAGTCCCTGGTTGATAACGGATCGGGAGGGAGGAGCCCCCTCCCTGAGCCCCCTTTGATTTTTGATTCCCAGGGGATGCAAGGGGCAGGCTGGGGGCGGGGGGTGGGGGGGCTTTTTTTGGCCTTTTTTTTTTAATAACCACGAGCCGGGAAGCGGAGCTGCCATAGGAGCGAATGACTGTGGTTCTCCAGCAGCGCAGAGGAGGATGCTGTAACCCCTTGCCCCCTTGCTATCGTCTCCTTTTCCCCCACCTTTAGCCCAAGAAGGGGGAGCGGGGTCGGGGCTGCAGCTGCGGGGAGGGCGCGGCTCCCCCCGGCCCCCCCCGGCCGCGGGGCCGGAGCCGTGCGGGGGCTGCAGCATCGGTGGGGCTCTGCTGCCCCCGCCTGGAGCAGGCGCTGGTGGCTCAAACCCTTCCTCCCGAGCTCCCTTCCTGCTCAAACCCTTCCTTCCCAACTCCCTTCCTGCGAGCAGCCTTGCTGCACAACCGCCAATAATCCTTTTGGGGCGTTATAAAGCATTTTGGTTATTTCCTGCCTGCCTTTACCCACCGCCAGCCCAGCTCTGCTCACTGTCAGTGAAAGCTGAACCCACACGTACGGGTCAGAAACCCGAGAGAACACCTTGGGGGGCGGGGGGTTATGGCCTTAACGCCTCCCTTTCGGTTTCTTTTTGCAGCGAGGAGCTGAGTCCCGCGAGGGGTGGGAGCAGGCGAGGGGCGCGGGGTGCCCGTGGGCAGCTCAGGGAGAAATTTCGGCATTTCCCTCGGCGGGTTTCACTTCGCCTCTCCCTGGCCTTAACGGCTCCCATCCGCGCGGTTTGGGTGCAGGCCCGAGATGCGAAATGAGTTGTGGTTTTTATCTGTGAGGGGAAAGGTCTCTGAAATGTCCCCAGCCCATCGCAAACAAGGCTGGAAACGACTTTGAGAAGTCGTCCGTCCCTTTCTCTTCCCGTTAGCGGAGCTGCAGCGAGGTGGCTTTGCTCTCGGCGCCTCGCTTCTGCGGCTGCCATGGCCGCCGCCGGGCCCGCTGGCTCAGCACCGCACTGAGCTCTGTCAGGGCAGCCCCTCACGTGGCCGGGAAACGAAGCTCGGCCGTAATTAGCGAGTGAGTTGGGCACGGAGTTTGTGTGCAGGGCAGTGAAGCGTCGCATCCTCTCCTTGCGTGCATCTCGTGCTCGCAGACTCAAACACAGATGCAGGCTCCGTTCTGCCAGGAGAGCTCCCAGACACGGCCCTGTGAGCCCACAGAAATTCCTGACGGAGGGACCCGGGCTGCTGGCGCTGAGGCTGGGCAGGGCAAGGTGGGGGCACTGCGAGGTGGGGGCACTGCGAGGCAGAAAGTGAGCAGGGAAAGCGAGCCGGGTGTGCAGGCAGCGGGAGGGTGCCCTGAGCACCCCACATCCCGCACCCTGCACCCCTCAGCCAGCAGCTCCAGGCCTGGGCTGTGCCCCCTGTGCCCTCCCTGCCGCCTTTTTCCCCATCAGGGCCAGGATCTGAGCATCTGGGGCCGGTTCTGGCCCCTCTCTGGGGACGCCGGGTGCTGCTGCTGCGTGGCCGAGCCCCCATGCATGTGGGGACGGTGACGCTGAGCCCCGCCACGGCCTCCCTTGGTTTTCCCTGCTGAGATGAGAAGTCCTCGATGTCCTTGATCGCTGAAATACGGTGAGAGCAATGCCGAAGGTGCAGCTCGGGAGCAGACGGGGCTGGGGAATGCCCCAAAATCTCCCCTCTGCCCTTTGCTTGCTGCCGACAGCCGCTGGCAGTGTTTGAGGGCGCTGGGGCCAGGCCGGATCTGGTGCTTCACACACATGGGGGAAGGGTTTGCGGCTGGGGAGGGCGGCAGCCTTGTTTGCTCTGTCTGCACCTGCTTCCTCTCGCCTTCTCTGCGCTTCTTTGGGGCAGCTTCACCTGGGGCAGGCTCAAAGGCTGGGGACGGGGAGCTGCTGAGCGCCGCGGTGCTGGCACAGCCGGGAGCCAGCTGGGCCTGGGGTCTGCAGGAACACCCCCAGGGAACAGGAGGGTCTGGGCTGAATGAACGTGGTTGCAGGGATAATTCTGTGCTCCCGGGGTGTGTGGGCACTGCTGGAGCCGTGCAGCAGCCCCCTGGTGTGGCTCGGCTGCCGGGAGCACGCTGGGCTTGCACAAGCAGAGAGGTTTTGGGGCACGGCCGGAGGAGCTGAGCTGTCCCTGCAGCTGGCTGTGTGAAGCCTCTGGGACCTGCAACTTCTGTAAAGCAGCTCCTGGAGATGGACAGGTCACGATAAATCCATCTCCTCCTGGAGCTATGGAGAAGACTTGGTAAAAGCCCGACTGCTGCAGGCTTCTCTGCTCTGGAGAAGCCCCTGGTGGGGCTTTGAGCACCCGGTGGCTCTGTAAGCAGAGCAGTGCCAGCAGCCCCCCCTGAGCACACCCCCATGCGCAATGCTGCAGCCTGCCCCGGGGCAGCCAGGGCCAGCAGTGAGCCCACAGCACCAAACGGGCACGGCAGGACCATGCCTGGGAGCCTGGCACTGCTGATGGAGGCCAAACACAGCCCCCGGGCACTCATCCTGCCCTGCCTCTGCCTCCCATCTGCCCACCCCGGGCAGGGCTGGGTGCTGGCCGGTGCCCAGCGCTGTTTGCCTTCAGCAGAGGCTGTCCCAGCCCGGGCCTGGGGACGGCTGCAACTCCGGGAATTTTTTTCTCGAGCAGGAAGCTGAAGCATTTCCTCCTCCAGCCGCAGCTGATTCTCGCAGAGCGAGTTTTGCAATCCCATAGGTTTCTGTTCTCGCAGCGGGGAGGTGCCTCCCTCCACCTTGCAGCTCTGTTTGCTTGTGTGTTGTGTGTGCTTTTTGTGTGTTTTTTTTTTTTTTTTCTTTTTGCATCTGTCAGTGTTTTGCCGCTGGCCCCGACAGGTCCCAGCGGCCGGGTGGTTTTGGGCAGAGCCAACAGGCGTCCTCCCTGCCTCTCATGCGCAGCCCTTGGCGCAGAGCGGCGCCGGCGAGGTAGGAGGCTGGGAGCTGCGTGCCGGGGCCATGCTGTGCCGTCGGCGTCCATGGGCACTGCCAGGAGTGGAGGACAGACAGATGGCCGGGTGGACAAACGGCCAGGGCGCGTGGTGGTGGGGCCGGGCAGGGGGATGCGAGCAGCCGCCGGGGTGACCTCTGTGCTTCCCCGCAGCGGCGGTGCAGGCGATGCAGAGCACCCCCAACTACCTCTGGAGCACGGACGATCTTCTGGGCCAGGGCGCCACAGGCCTCCGTCTACAAAGCTCGCAACAAGGTGAGGAGGTGCCAGGGAGGGTTATAAGGGGGTGGTGGATGCCCCAAAACCACGGTGCCCCTGTGCCCCAGCCCTCCTGCCCCGCAGCGCGGGGATGCTCCGCTCGCCCTCGCCCTGCCATGAGCCGCAGCTGCCGGCAGTGCTGGGGCTGTTTGGGTTTATTTTCATTTTTTTTCCCTTGGTTGCTTCCCCCAGCAGAGTTCTGTGGGGTGAGGGCTGCTTTTAGGGCTTGCTGGGGCTCACAGTGCGGATGCTCCCTGCATCGGGGTGGGAGCTGCTCTGGGGAATGCCCAGAGGTTTTGAAAACCCCATCCGTGGCGATTTGCATACATCATGCAAACACTTGCCAGGGCTGGAACAGAGACTTTCAGCCCCACTGGCCTTTGAAGTTTATTAAGCAAGCTGTCTCTGCGGGGCTCAGGGCTGGGAGGATGCTTTGAAAACAGCCCTGTCCTGCAGGGAGCAGGCGGGGGCCTGTGACAGCAGCATAAACACGCTCCCACCGAGCACATGGGCTTCAGAGGCAGGAAGCAAACAGAGCCGAGCAATATCTCTGGCTTTTGCAATGCAGACAGCAAAGGCTGAGGAAGCCTGTTCAGAAAGCAAGCCCTGTTGTGAGCACAGTTTGCATCCAGAGCGGGCTGAGAGAGCAGTGCTGGAGCTAACGTTGCTGTTCGGGGCACAGGCAGGGTGACGCTCCATTTCCTTTTTCTCCTTTTCCTCCTTTCCCAGAAATCAGGGGAGCTGGTCGCTGTGAAGGTCTTCAACAATGCCAGCTACCTCCGCCCGCAGGAGGTGCAGATGAGGGAGTTCGAGATGCTGAGGAAGCTGAACCATAAAAACATCGTCAGGTTATTTGCCGTGGAGGAGACGGTAAGCGGGGCCGCGGCTCGGAAACCACGGTGCCGGCAGTGCCGGGATGGGGCAGCCGCCCGCGGCCTCACCGCCGCCCCCCACTGCAGGGCAGCAGCAAGCAGAAGGTGCTGGTGATGGAGTACTGCTCGAGCGGCAGCTTGCTCAACGTCCTCGAGGACCCAGCGAACGCCTTCGGCTTGGCCGAGCCCGAGTTCCTCATCGTGCTGCAGTGCGTGGGTGAGCGGGGGCTGCGCGCGTCCCCGTCCCCGTCCCCATTCCTGGGGCTCTGGGACAGGCTGGGACCACCCGGTGCTGGGGTTGTGGGCGTTTAGGGCAGCCTGCATGCTCAGAGATAGCACCTGGGGCAGGTTGGGTCGGCGAGCGCTGCTCTGGGGGAAACCCGAGGATCTCCGTGCCCAGCAGCAATGGGACTGGGCTGTGCTTCCCCACGTGCTCGCTCCTCAGCTCCATTTCCCCAAAGTCACGCTGGTTCCCATGAATGCACAGCCAGCCCTGGGGCCTGTCCCTGTTCTGGTCCTTCTTTTACCCCTGCATTCACCCAAAGCCCGCTTGAGCAGAGAGCTCCAGGCCCACGCTTCCCTCCTGCTCCCAGTGGCGGGGATGAACCACCTGCGCGAGAACGGCGTGGTGCACAGGGACATCAAACCCGGCAACATCATGCGGCTGGTGGGCGAGGACGGGCAGAGCATCTACAAGCTGACGGATTTTGGGGCTGCCCGAGAGCTGGAAGACGACGAAAAGTTTGTGTCTGTCTACGGGACAGAGGAGTATCTCGTGAGTAGGGCACGGGGACGGTCTGGTGGCCACGGGGTGTCCTGTGGGGTCCCAGTCCCCATCCCTCCAACAGCGGGGCGACACGGGGAGAAGCGGTGACCTGCAGAGCCCCACGTCAAAGGGGCCACGCGTTTTGAAGAGAGGGGCTCAGCATTTTGCTTGCAGCACCCCGGGCCACGTTTTCCTTTGGGGTCACAGCAGAAGAGCCCCAAAGGAGCAGTTTTAAATGCCCCAGGGCAGCGCCGCTCTCTGCTTTGCCCCTCCAGCACCCGGACATGTACGAGCGAGCCGTCCTGCGCAAGCCGCAGCAGAAGGCCTACGGCGTCACCGTCGACCTGTGGAGCATCGGCGTCACCTTCTACCACGCTGCCACCGGCAGCCTGCCCTTCGTCCCCTTCGGGGGACCCCGCAGGAACAAGGAGACCATGTGGGTACCGGGGGGCTCGGCGGCTGGGGGCTGCAGGACGAGCTGGTGGCGGCTCGGTGCCTGCCTGCAGCACCCTCTGACTGCAGGTGGCTCGCCCCATAAAACCCAGAGAGCCTGGAAACGTAGCTCGTGGCTGGCCGCGTGCTCTCTGCGGTGCGGGGAGCACACACAGCATGGTGGGGGGCCGTGTCCATTTGTCCTGCTTACCCTCCAAATGTTTATTCAGGGGCTAAACAGTTGAAGAAGTTAGGGGTAATGTTCGTGTGAAACTTTTTGACTGTTTCTTGAGCTATTCTCTATCTCTGTGTTGTGTTTTCTTTTTGTAAATTGTGCCCTCCCAGCCTGCTCACACGCTCTCCTTTCCCTCTTTGCTGCACCCAGGGGCCGTGGTGCCCAGATGGGCGTCTCCCGGCTCCTTTCACCGAGGACAAACCGAGCCGTTTCCTCCCCACAGGTACAAAATCACCACCGAGAAGCCCCCCGGGGCCATCGCGGGCGTGCAGAGGCAGGAGAACGGGAGCATTGAGTGGAGCTACGAGCTGCCTGTCACCTGCCAGCTCTCGGCGTGAGTGTCCCCAGTGGCACTGCGGGTCCCGCGTCCCGGCCCCCCTCCCCGTGGGGCTGCAGCTGCACCCTGCCCCTGCCGAGCCCCCCCCACGGCCTGTGGTTACAGCAATATGCACAAAACCTCTCCTCCTTCTCCTCTTGCTGCCGCAGGGGGCTGAAGGACCAGCTCATACCCATCCTGGCCAATATCCTGGAGGCGGATCAGGAGAAGTGCTGGGGGTTCGATCAGTTTTTTGCAGAAACCAACGACATTCTGCACAGGATCGTGGTCGACGTCTTCTCCCTGCAGCAGGCTTCCTCGCATCGCATCTACATCCACCCCTACAACACGTAAGGAGCCCCCGGGAGAGGCCGGCTGAATTTGGGAATTGAGCTCCGGTGGGGCCCCGTTGGCCTCTGCGCAGTTTTGCCACGAGGAGATGCCGGCAGCCTGCTAAAGTGATGGAAACCTGAACACAAACCTCACGGCTCGTTCCCCATCCTTTCATATATATTTTTTTAATTTTCAGTACCAGCAAGTTTTTAGACGCTGTCTTCAAACAAACGAGCATAGCTCCCCACCATCAAGAATATTTTTATGAAGGTCACCCCTACGAGCTGGATCCCAACCTGCAGGCCCACAGCTTCTGCAGAACCGCGCGGCACAGCCCGCTGACCCTGCTGAGCTCCGCCGAGCAGCCAGAAGAGGTGGTGGGAGTGAGATACAGAGACCGTGAGTACCCCCGGCAGCCTCGAGCATCGCAGCTGCTCCCGTTCCTGACACCCTGAGCAGCTCGGGGGCTTGTAGGGCTGGCAGGAGCCGTCCCTGCCGGTCTCCCCTGAAGCCCCCTGGCTGACTGCTCTCCATCTCTCCAGCGGCGCTCGACTTCCCAAAGTTTGTCCCCAAGGTGGACGTCGTGGCTGACTGCAGCACCGCCAAGGTAGGTGGGGATGGCCACGGGGAGCCTGGCAGCGGGGACACAGCCACCAGCACCGTCCCTTTCACAGAATCACAGAATTGTAGGGGCTGGAAGGGACCCCGAGAGATCATCGGGTCCAACCCCTTTGCCTTGCAGAGCGCGGTGGGCGCCGTGCACCAGACGCTGCGGATCGCCCAGGCGCTGCGGCGCTGCCAGGAGCTGGTGGCCAGGGGCCTGCACTGGGTGATGTGAGTGCCGGGGCCACCTGTCCCTCCCCGTTTCACTGGGAGATTTGTGTTAAGGGTTGAAACGCTCGGGGTTTTCCAGCCTCTGGCAGGCAGTGGGGGCACTGGGAGGGAGCACAGCGTCCCCATACAAGGGACGCAGGTGCCAGGTTGTGAGGGGGCTACACCCAGATGGGGGCTCAGTGTCTGAGGATGTTCCTGCCCCTGTTTGCTACTTTTGGGTCACCTTTTTCAGGCTGAGGAAAACATCATCATCATCATCATCATTATTAAAACCTTCATGGTGCATTTTCACCATCTTATGCATTCCCCTGGGGGCAGGAGCTCCTTGTGCCGTACCTGTGCAGTGCCCACCGACCCGCACCCTCCCAGCACCCTCCCAGCACCCTCCCAGCCATCCCAGCCCCTCCCAGTGCCCCCAGCCCCTCATTCTCCTACAAGCAGCCTGAGGGGGAGCCACGAGCTGAGCCCTGGCACTGCCGGGGCAGGCAGAAAACAGGATGTATTGTTTTCTCTTGTGGCAGTGGGAACCTGAAATCGGAGTGCTCGAGGGTTTTGGAGCAGAGGAGAGGGGTGAACACGGTGCTCACCAGCCTGCAGCTGCTGGAGGTGAAGACCCGCGGGCTGTAAGTGCAGGGGTGGCTCTGCCAGCTGGGTGCTGGGTGCTGGGTGCTGGGTGCTGGGTGCTGGGAGCAGGGGCAGGCAGGACCCACAAAGGTGCCAGGGCAGCGGGCTGGGGAGGCTCCGATGCTGCTGCCGTCATCCCAGTATCACAGCTCAGCTACGGGGTCTCCAAGGTGCCTGAATAATCAGGAATAAATTCCAGGAGTGAGCTGGCAGCTGGAGCGCAAGAGGCTTTTTTTGCTCCTTGTGCAGACTGCGTGGGAAGTGAGCCGCCGTGGCTGCTTCTCCCTCTTTGCTTCAGCTTTTAATTATCAGGCTCTGGTTTTGTGTGAGCCCAGGAGGAGTCCTTGGGCTCTGGCTCCTGCTCGGGGTTTTTGGGCTGTTGCAGCCCGCGACCACAGAGTAAGCACGAGGAGGAGGCAGGCAGGGGGGGAGCTGTGTCCTGGGTGCTGTGCTCCCCATCAGCCAGCATGAGGCCAGCTCACATAAAATCAGACATTTTGGAACAAGTGGGACACCACGGGGCGAGTTTTTACCGATCAGAGCTTTGCATCTCGTGGTTGGGTGCCTGAGCTGGGATTTATTGCCTGAGCCGACCACTGCCCAGCTGCCCCAGGGAGGTGTTTCTGTGCCCAGGTGATGGTTTATCCATTTCCACCCCTGAATACTGAGGAATGTTCCTTGTCCTCAGGTACGAGGCTCTTCCCGGAGGCAGCGGGCTGCCGGCTCTGAAGGACTTGGCGGTGGTGAAGAGCCGGCTGCAGAGGGTGAGCAGCGAGGCAGGGGCTGGGAGCACCCATGGGTGCGGGCGGTGCTGGCAGGAGCCGGCCCCCACCTCCCTTCCCCACCTGCAGGTCGTGGAGGAGCTTTCCCAGTGCTCCCACAGCATCTACGACTTCCAGGGGGCACTGGATGGCATTTTGTCCGAGCTGGTGCAGCACAGGCAACAAGCGCACGAAGACAAAAGGTTTGCAGAGCGGCTCTACCAAAACCCCCGGGAAGGTTTTGCTGGTTTGGGTTTGATTTTGGGGCCAAGCTGGGTAGCCAGGGGCGGGTACCCCATCTCCTAGCCTTCCTCCTGTGGCCTCACGCCTCCTTCCCTGTCCTTGTTTCACAGCATCCAGCAGCTCGAGTGCTGCCTGGAGAAGATGCAGCTCATACACAAGCAGTTCAGGAAGGCCAGGAATTGTCCGCGTGAGTCCCGGGGTGCACCTGGGGGGCGTCCCTGCACTGACCTGGGGGGGAAACAAATTATTTCCCTGCTGGTTTCTGTCCCGTGACAGTAATCCCGGGGAATGAAGCCCTGAAAAGCCTCCCCAGTGATCTGGGCATGGTGAAATTGCCCGTTTATTGGGTTAGGAGCACAAAAACGCATGGAGCTGGCTCTGGCAGGTGACCTGTGTCTTTCCTCCCCCAGGGCTGGGCTACAACGAGGAGCAGATTCACAAGCTGGACAAGTAAGCAGCACCCCCTCCCCTTCTGGCCCCAAAGCGTTGCCAGGCAGACATTTGGCGTTTCTGAGAGCATCTCACGGGGATGCAAAACGTTCCTGGGGCAAAGAGCCCTGCGGGGCACAAGAACATTTCAGGCTGGCTGCTGCCGCTCTGCTCGCTCAGTCTGGGGCTCGTTTATCCCCTGAAATGGTCCTTTAGGATGTGTCCATTTCTGGGGAAGTGCTTCCCTACCTGCCTGGCTTTCAGAGGTGGCACAGTGCCCGTGGGGCTTTTCTATCTGTAAAAATTCTCCTTTCATTTTCCAATGAAAGAGGGAAACTGAAATCTCTTCTTTGTCCTGCTTTGGTGTCATTTTCTTGGCACCACCGCTTGTCCAGTCCCTCTCCCCCCGTTCGGGAGCCAGCTTCAGTCCTGCTGCTGTGTAACCTGGGCTTTTCATTTTCGTGCCTTTCAGGAAATAACATCTGCTCCCTTCCCCCCTTGCCTCTCCTGCTTTCAGGGTGAATTTGGGGCATTTGGCCAGGAAGGTTCTGCTGATTTTCCAGGACGAGTGCGTGCGGCAGTACCAGGACGTCCTGGCCCTGCACGGCAGCAGGATGAGGTACCAGCACGTGGGGTCTGGGGCTTGTAGAGCAGATCGTCCGTTCCCATGGGCCATACGTGTGGGTGGGAGGAGGATTTTCTACAGTGCCTTAGGATCGAGCTCTGCCTCTGACCTGGTCCCGATTTCTGGCATGAGCATTGCACTGGATTTAGTGCTGGGGGGAATTTTTAGGCCAGGGATTTGTCCGAGATGCCCAAAGGTCCCCAGGGGCAGCGGGCGGTTCCCCTGCGCCCTCCCCTCTGCCTCAGCAGGCAAAGCTGGGGGTGTCTCTCTGCAAACCCTCACCATGGTGAGGTTTTGTTTTGGGGGCAGAAATTATAACCCACAGTGGGGGCTCACCTCCTGCCACATCCCCTCACGCTGCTCTTAAATCTCCCCTCGGCTTCGGGGGCAACTTTGTCCCAGGATGAAATCCGTCCCCAAAGCACGAGCCCCGTCCGTGCCCAAGCAGAGCTTCTGCTTTTACTCAGAGGAGGGAGAGAAGCTGCTGCTTGTTTTTCTGCAGTATTTTTGCATCTGTTTTTTCTGTCCTTAGGCAGGACGCATCGTGAGTCACAACTGGATATTTAAAAATTGTTTTTACTTGAGTTGTAATTGCCTTATTTTGGGTTTCTTCCTGCTGGCAGCGAGGGTTTGTGGTGCGGTGGCTGTTTTCTGGGGACCAGAGGTGGACCATTCACCTTAAATATTCTTCCTTTTTTAAGGCCAAAACGAACTTTTTTTTGTACTAAGCCGTGTCACTCCTGAGGCACCTGCTGGCTGCATGGCCCCATTGCCCCAGAGCTGGCAGGATCAGGGGATCAGCCCCAAAACCTAAAGGGGTTCCTATGGGCTGGAGCCTGGGCAGGGTGGGCTGAGGGGGGAATTTTCTGACCTTTATGGGCTTCAGGTGTGAGAGGAGAGCCCATGGGTGGGGTACAAAACCTGGCACCCACCTTGCCTAGGAGCTCAGTCCTCTGCGGGGGACAGAGGAGGCAGAAGCGGTGCTCTGGAGCTGGCCCCGTGTAAGCCACGCTTCCCCTAATTAGCTTGCTGTTGGTGCTGTTTGGATGGCCTTGCCTGTGGCGGCTGCAGTCACCACACCGTGGTGAATCTTTCCCTCGGGATTTTAACGCTGAGCCAGCTTGGTTTGCAGAAAGCGATGCAAAATTAAAAGAAAAAAAAAAACAACACACACACACACACAAAAAACCACTGATAATCTCAATTGCTGACAAACACTGACTGGGGTTTTTACCATCATTTTTCCTTTCTAGGAAGGTGTGTGAGACAAAAAAGCATCTGAAGAGGCTCAGCAACCGCATCGGCACCTGCGGCGTGGAGGCGATGGAGTGCCAGGAGTGCCTGCAGCACGTAGGTCCCCGCGCTGCCGCCCTGCTCGGGAGGGAAGCACTGGGCGCCTTTCAACAACTTGCTGCGGATTTGTGGAGTTATGCTTGGAGTTTTGGGAGTTTGCTTTGCTCCGCTGAGCAGAACAAGGGTTGGGTGAACCTTTGGCTGTGGCACTGAGTCCAAAACTGACAGCGTGGCGCTGGGGAGTTCGTGCTCAGCAGGCAGGAAATGGCAGCGGTAGAAGAGGCGATGTCACCTCCAGCTGTCACGGTGGATTATCTGACACCCTGGGGCACAGCCACCGGCCGATGCCCTTTGGTTAGGTCATTCTGCTTCTCCTGACGAGGTGGTGTGCAGGGTGTGACCATACACACGTCATTTCCCCAAGCGTTTGGTCACCCTCTGGTCCCTCAGCTAAGCAGGGTGCCCACGGGGAGGCTGCACGCACACAGCACCCGCGGGTGAGGCCACAGCTCTCTGGGTGCAGAGCTGCCAAATGTCTCCATCTCTGCAGGCGCTGGACACCTTTCCCCAGATGGCCTTGACGGAGAAACGGAGCCCGGCCCTGGTCCCCCCGGTGCCTTCCCCTGTCCCCCTGAGCCAGGCCCGCCGGGAGATGGCTTTCCAGTGAGTGTTTGGAAGGGGCTCGTGGACAGCCTGGTGCCGTGGGGACAGGGCCACCGCCTGCTGCTCGTCCTCCGTGGGACAGCACCAGGGCTCTGGCTCTGCAGGGCTGGTGTGGGGCTGGGGCTGCGCGGTGTCATCCCGGCTCAGTGCCCGTGGTTTGGGGCATCCCTGCTGCTCAGCCACCGCTTCTGCTTCTCCGGCGGGCAGAGGTCTCCGGGCAGCCCCCGTGTAAGTCCCTCGCTGTGTGTCCGGCAGGATGCAGGAGCTGCTGGAGCAGATGAAGTCAGTGACGTGCAACCTCCAGTTCAACAACAGCATCATCGAGCGGTGAGTGGGGTGCATCCTGCCCCGGGGGTGAGGACGGGTGGCAATGGGTGCTGGGGGTGCTGCCTGCGGGCTGGGGGACGAGCACCCCGGTGCCGTGGTGGGGACAGCTGAGCCCGGCGCCGAGCACGACCACAGCCCCTGGCACGGCTCCTCCAGCAGCACCACGTCTGCATCATCATCTGGCAGCAGGAGAGGGTTTATCTTTCTTGGAAATTGAAGCATGAGCTACTGCACAAGCTATGCAATGCCTGCCGCCCTCCTTCCAGCCCTTCCCCGCGCTGCTCAGTGCTGGCAGCTGCTGGCTGCCGTGCAGAAGCTGATGCTTTCTGCTCCTGGACAGAACTCCCTGCAAAATCCCCCTGCTGGCAGCCCCCCCTTGGGTTTCTTCCTCTTTAAACTTTTTTTTGAGGGTCTCAATGCAAACCAGCACTATGGATATCCATACTAAAACCTCAAAGAGCTTCAGATCGGATTTTGAAAGAAAAAAGGAAATGAGGGTTTCACCCCAGCTTGGCTTCTATAGGACCAAGCGTGCTGTTGCAGCAAATCCACCGTGAATAAAAGAGGGGACAAGGGGAGGTCTGGCCTGCTTACGGCACAAAGAACTCACAGCAGCAGACGCAGGAACGAGCCCAGCCACCGGTGCCCAGCCCGTGCCGTGGTTTGGGACTGCACCAGCCCAGCCCAGCCCTCCCCAGCCAAATCCTCTGGTTTTGTTCCCGCAGGCTGAGCGGGGCTGCCCCCACTCCCGGCCTCTGAGGACGCGGCGGATTTGTAGGTGCTGAAGCAAAGCGCTGCTGGCAGCGGGGAGCACACACACACCGCGGGTCCAGCGCTGCACACGAGTCGGGTGCCCGTGTCTGAGGAGCTGCCCCCGGTCCTACCTCTCCGCTCCGGCACTTTGCACGGTTCTCCAGTGAAAACTTGATGGGAAGTTGGCGCAGAGCGAGGGTTTTTCCTTTTGACAAGTGCTTGAAGGACTGCCACGGTTCTCTAGCTTCTCTGAACCACGATGTCGGGTGATAAAGAGGCTAGAAATGATCTCCTGCCCGTTTAGGGATTACCACCCCTGTGAACATTCCTGTGCTCACTGGTGCCCCGCGGGCTGGGGCAGAGCCCAGGGCAGGGGGATGCTGCACCCCATGGAGGAGACGCCGGGTCTGGCCCAGGACGGCTCCAGCGCTGCCCGTGGGGGGCTCGGGGCACAGCAGCCGTCCCTGCCCCCCCTCCTCCTGCCTCCACTCCCAGCCTTGTCCCCAGCTCGGCCCCGTCCCGGGCTGCGGATGGCAGCAGGCGCAGGAAGCCGGGGGAGGTTTCTCTGTTTTGGTGCCTTTCTATAAATGTCACTGAGCTCAGTGTTCATGGACGTGTCTGTGTGTGTCTGTCTGTGTGTGTGTGTGCCGCATCCAAACAGCCCTCACTGGAACGTCTCCAACCTCACCTGGGGGGTTGGTGAACGCCGAGGCAAAATCTCAGGCAAGGCGAGTCCCCTGAGAGAAAGCAGGCACGTTTCTTTGGGGTGAAAGACAACAAGAAATCCTAAACACCCACCTCATTAATAAATACGGGGTGAAAATGGGCGTTCATCTGAGGAGGTGACGACAGCCTGGGTGGCAGGGCTGCAGCAGGGATGGGGACGGAGTGGAGATGGGGACCAGGGGACCAAGGCAGGCAGCCTCGGGGCTTGCTGGGGATGTCTGAAGCTGCTCTGGGAAGGATGCAAGCAGGAAGCTCTCCTTTTATGCCCCAGGGGAGTGGCAGGGATGGGGAGCTCGTTATTCCCTCCTCATTGACAGCCAGGAAGAGCCCGGAATGATGAGGACGGGCCCTGCTGCTCTGCATCAGGGCTGCACCCAGTCCTTTGTTGGGGAATGCATTATGCTCCAAATTTCCTCCTGTTTTCTGACCTTGGGTGTTACGAGAAGCCGTAATCCTCTGGTTATCAGCTGAGTCAGCTGCTCGCCTGCAGCTCAGTGATAGGGGAAGCCCGGGTTTTCGGACTGCGAGCGTGCGATGGTATCAAGGCGCTCTTTGTGGGAAGCATCGGGTGTGCCACCCCCTTTGTCCACCTCTTCCTGCCCATCCCTGGGGTGATTTATGGCTTGTGACACATCCCACAGCCCGTGGTGCTGCAGGGAGCCCGGGCTGGGTGACAGGAAAGTGCCTGGGCTGCAGGGAAGCCAGGCAGGGTGGCAGCCGTGTCCCAGCACAGGGGATGGGGTCCGTGAGGCTCCGAGGCAGCTTTTACACCCAGGGGGCTCCTGGCAGAGAGCAGGCAGAGTTCCCCACCCCTTGCAGACACACCGAGGGCACGCACACACACACACATCAGTGCCCATGGCCGTGTGTTTGCCTGGTCACTGCTGCCAGCTGCTGGTGCTCGGGGAGGTCAGAGCCGGGCTTTGGGCAGCGCCAGCAGCAGCAGAGCCCGGGGCGGCTCCGCGCAGCTCCCGGTGGTGCCGCTGGAAGCAGAGGCTGAGCCTTTGCCTGGGCAAGCAAACGCGTCTGACTCAGCCACGGCGGGGATGCTCAGCGTGCCTGCCCGAACCTGTCCCTCAGCAGGGAACGAAACACCCAGATCTTCCCTTCACCCTTCCTCCAGTTCCCTTCCCAGCACGTTTTCTGGAGGTGACACGCGTTGGCTCAGCCAAAAGCCTTCAGCCAAGTCCGGGCCTGCCGGGCTGCTCCCTGGGCTCCTGCGAGTCCCTGAGCTCGTCCCCAGCCCCGGGACCTCAGATCTCAGCCAGCAGCTGGGGGGCAGAGCGGCCCCACGGAGAGGCAGGGGGCTGCCCGGTGTGGGTCAGTCCTTGGACTGACCATGGCAAAAATTTCCAGCCCCTACTGGGACACGTGTGGTGGTGGCACAAGGAAAAACCAGCGTGGCCCTGGAGCTGAGCGTCCTGCTGCAGCTCTGCCCGGGGCTCGGATGGGAATTTTGCAGGGGGACAGCAGGCTTCAAGGTGCACGGCATGGCTTGAAGGAGCAGCAGCTCCGGGACTGTGCCTGGCTCTGCTTTCTGGTAAGAACAGGCTGAGAGTGCCAGGAGCTGCCCCTGCTCAGGAAACTGCTTCCGAGTGGCGTTTGGCACCGGGTCTGAACGTTCCCATTCATGTGAGTGGTAAAAACCAACATCCCGACTGTCAAACCCAACGGCCTGCTGTACAAGTGGCAGAACTAAGCCATCACTTTAAAACTTTTCTCCTGCAGATTATTTTCTAGGATTCTCCTAGCTTTATAACTAATGTTATCTTTAATCCACCCCAAATTCACTGACATCCCCCACAGGAGCAGGGCAGGGAGCCCGGGCACTTGCTCAGGGTCAGTGGAGCTGGGCTGATTTGGACCAGCTGAGCATCTGACCTGGAACACGTTTGGCTCTATGTGTTCAAATAAAATAAAATAAGAAAATAAAAATAAATAAAATAAAATAAAATAAAATAAAATAAAATAAAATAAAATAAAATAAAATAAAATAAAATAAAATATTACTAAGCCCTTGTCATTCTTAAACTGCCCTAACACAGCAGCTGTAAAGGGGACCCCCAGAATCAAGGCTGACTCCTTCAGTTTTCAGCTCTTGTTAGTGCCTGCTTACAGCACTAGTCTTTTGTAACTCAGAGCCAGTGTTTTAATCCATCCTTCAAATCGAAATCTTTCAAAAGGACTTCAGTATCTTTGGCCCATCTTGGCCTCAGGAGTTGATGAGGATGTCAGATTGAGCTTCCCAAGCGCAGCCCAGCACCGTGACCGCAGCCGTCCCTTCACCTGGCCGCTCTCGCACAGCCCCGAGGGGCACAGCCCTGGTTCTGCCCCAGCTTCGTGTTTCAAACCAAGGCGACTGAGCCCCGCAGAGAAGGGATGTGCTGGTAGTTCGACAGCTAACCCAAAGCCTGGGCGATGCGTGTCCTGCACGGCCCAGGGTACCCGGAGGGCTTGGCAAACCAGACACGGCTCTCCTTGGCACCGCAGGGCTGGAGCCTGCTCAGATCCACTCCAGAAATTGGCCATAATATTTTCCTTTTCACTTCTCCCACAACCACAAAAGCCTCAGCTGGGAGGGATAATTGCTTCGGCTCGCAGCCCTCAGCGGCGCTCCAGAGCCCGGCTGGCGTTACGGTGGGGAAGGGGAATTGGCTCCAGCTGCCCTTACAGGGGCCGTGCAGTCACTGAGCGAGGAGAGGGCTGTGTGCTGTGCTGTGTGCCTGCACCCAGGTGTTAGGTGACCGTACATAAAGCAGCACCTTAGGGGTGCTCCTCCTGCTGCTGGGGGGGCAAAACCTGGGGCTGGGGATGCTGCCGGGGGTGGGGATGCTGCTGCTGTCCCCCAGCTCTGTGCTGAGGGCTGCCCGCCCCGGCTGCAGCACCGGGGGGGGGGGGGTGCTGTGCGCTGCCCCCAGCCAGCATCGGGCTCACGGGGAGCCGCGTCCCGTGGGGAGGGGTCTCGGGAGAGCGTGGGGGGGGTCCCACGGGGAAGGTTCCCGCTGGGAGAACCCCCCCGGGAGTGGGGAAAGCCCTTTCCGTGGGGGGCGCAAGGGCTTAGGGGAGGGGTCCGGAGGGTGGCTATGGGGGCAGCCGTCCCGGGGGGGGTTCCCCGTGGGAATCCCACAGTGGCCGCTCCCACGCCGCCCCCCCCCGGCTCTGTCTCCTCCCCGGGGCCGGGCCAAGGCGCCTGCGCTGCCCCGTGCTGGGAGCCCGTGGCGTGGCCGTGGGGTTGCGAGCTTTTGGGGCCGGGGGGGGGTGGGTGTTTGGAGCCGTGCCCCCCTCCCGGCACCATGCGGCGGCCGTCGGGCCCCGCTCCCAGCGCCCCGGAGCCGGGGGGCGGCCGGGGGCCGGGGAGCCCCGGCGGGGCGAGGGGGGCGCGGCGGTTGCGGCGGCGCGGGGGGGTCCCGCGGCTGCTGCCCGATGTGCGCAGCATCTTCCCGGCCCCCGGGGAGCCCCCGGACAGCGGCCACGGTCACGGCCACCGCTTCGTGCCCCGCGCCCTGCGCCGCGGCTGGTGCGACCTGTGCGGAGCCGCCGTGCGGGAGCGCGCCCTGCGCTGTGACTGTGAGTGCTGAACCCCCCCCCCGCTGCCCCCTCAGCCCTGCTGAACCCCCCCCTGCTGCCCAATGCACCCCGCCGCCCACCCCTGCTGTCCCCTGCACCCTGCTGTCCCCCCGCTCCCCTTGTCCCCTGCACCCTGCTGCCCCCCGCACGCCTGCCCAGGGGCTCCATCCGTCCTTCTCCTTCTCTCTTCGTGCCCAAATTCACCGCCCCACTCCCCTGCCTGCTCCCACCCGCGCCCCCTGCGAGACCCCCCGGGACCCCCGCCAGAGGTGATGGGCTGCGGGAATGCAGAGTTTTCTGGGGAAAACTGGGGTTAGCTGCTCCTTGCCAGGGCTGTGAAGGGCTCGGCGTTCTTCCTGGGCAGCAGGTCTCCTCCTCGGTTAGTGGGAAGGGTTTTGTGTCCTGTAATGCTGTACGGTGGGGTGTAAATCCCTCCAGGAATAGAAGGCTTCTCAGGCACCTTGCTTTGCCCTGACTCCTGGATGAGACCATCACAGGCTCGCTGAGATGTTTGCTGTGCCCATCCGGCACGTGTCACCTTTGTGCCATGTCCTGCGGGGAGGTCACCGCTTCAGCCGGGTGGGATGGGGGCTCCCAGACACCAAACAGGGTGGCCCGGCTGGGGCTGGGGCTGCTCTCAGGCCACGGGGCACACGCACACCCTGAATGTCCTTGCTGCAGCCCTGCAGTGTCCCAGGGAGAGGGAATGAGGGGGCTGGGGCAGAGGAGGTTTGGGCAACCCCCCTCACTGATAACTTGGGGGCAGCAGATTGCTCCAGACACGAGGGATACAGGTGCCATAAATCAAGTACCAAAGAAATTGCATCTGGTGCCAAGTTTTTCCAGGGAAAGTGCCCTGACCCCAGAACTACCAGCGTATGTCAGTGGGGGGCTTCTCCTGCCCGAGCTGTGTGCTCAGCCTGAAGGGATGGGTTTGGTGCAGCAAAGAGCCCTTCAGAGCCGGTTTATCTCAGCAAAGGCTGAGCACCAGCAGTGCAGGGAGCCAAACGGGCAGGCTTAGTCACACTTGCATCAGCAGGGACATGAGCAAGGAAAAGTCATGGTGGCAAAAGTTCTCTGGGTAGAGCAGCAGCTGGGGTTAGGTGCTGTGTGTCTTCAGGTAACCAAGGAAAAATCAGTTTTTGTGGTGCTTGGGTCAAGCTTTCCCTTCTCCATCGTGCAAATGTCACTGATCGCTGCTGTATGACAAGCACCGCTACTGGAACATGAGGAATGCCGATGTATTTCTGGTGCAATTAATCTTGGTAATGAATCCATTTGTCCTTTCTCTGTTGCTGGCTGGCAGTAGAAATTAATAAG